GCAACGAATGTGAATGAATATATGTTGTCTGTGAATTTTTTATATAATTTTTCATGTAAATAATGCTACAATTTAGAGGGTAGAATTTTCATACGGTTAGACTTGGTGTGAGAGCACTTTGTGGACTACAACTCTTCCTGCTTTCAACTAGGGTTGCACCGATATGAAAATTTTGGCCGATACCGATAACCGATAGTTCTTTATATTTAAAAAGCCGATAACCGATATATCGGCCGATAAACTTAAATCCAAATTTTTATCTAATTTTGAGAGCCTGATCACAAAAACAAAAGTCTCACAATTGAATCCATGTCAATGTTATAGTGTTGTATAGCCGATATGACAGATTTGCGCTGCACATGTTGTACCAAACCGTATTTTCATTTTTTGAATAGATATCAATCATATTTCAAGAAATTCAAAAACATAAACAGTGCTACACAAGTGTCTCAGCTGAAGGGAATAATACATTATTTATCGGCTTTAATATATCAGCCACATTTCCTTACGAGGCCGATAACAATAATATTAAAAATGAACACATATCGGCCGATACCGATATGCTGGCCGATATATCGTGCATCCCTACTTTCAACACGTTTGATGTACGTCACCACCACTAGCACACGGAACCCGCTAAACAAACCATTGTTTGAATGGTGACATTTGGGTACAAAACACACAGGCATCTCGATCTAATTCCTTGGATTATCGCAAAGTGATTTGTGGAGGGAAAATGTTTTATGCGGTGACGTCACATATGTACGTATTGCATTCACTTGAAGAAAAAAAATCTACTCTGTTTTTCTGAATTAACGAGTTAATTTTTCATGAGAAAAAAAATTTGCTCTGTTTTTCTGAATTAATGAGTTAATTTTTCATGAGAAAAAAATGTCTCTGTTTTTCTGAACTAATGAGTTAATTTTTCATGAGAAAAAAAAAATGTTCTCTGTTTTTCTGAATTAATGAGTTAATTTTTCATGAGAAAAATTTTTTTGCTCTGTTTTTATGAATTAATGAGTTAATTATTCATGAGAAAAAAAGTTTTTGCTCTGTTTTTCTGAATTAACGAGTTCATTCAGAAAAACAGAGCAAAAAAAATTCCATGAAAAATTAACTCGTTAATTCAGAAAAACAGAGCAAAAACTTTTTTCTCATGAAAAATTAACTCATTAATTCAGAAAAACAGAGCAAAATATATTTTTCTCATGAAAAATTAACTCATTAATTCAGAAAAACAGAGCAAAATATATTTTTCTCATGAAAAATTAACTCATTAATTCAGAAAAACAGAGCAAAAAAAATTCCATGAAAAATTAACTCGTTAATTCAGAAAAACAGAGCAAAAACTTTTTTTCTCATGAAAAATTAACTCGTTAATTCAGAAAAACAGAGCAATTTTTTTCTCATGAAAAATTAACTCGTTAATTCAGAAAAACAGAGCATTTTTTTTTTCATGAAAAATTAACTTCAAGCGAATGCAATATGCCTCCGTACATATGCGACGTGTAGTCTTTTTCATTATGTCTATTCCACAACTGCTAGCCAAAGAATCATACAATATACTGTCAAACTCGTTACATGAGAAATTATATTAAAAAAAATTCACAGACAACATATGTGCACAACTTCACATTCATGGCTTTTCTCTCATTCACTTGCATTGACGCCTTTTCAACCTAGAGGTCCACTTGCCAGCTCTACAGCGCCACTTTTTTTTTTGTTCAGTACCAACTTGGTACCGAAGTCGGTATTTTTGTCGACACTATGTGTCACAATAGGGCAGAAAAAACAATCGCAACTTCCGTTTCATGCAGACTTTAAGCCATTAATCTAATTATGCTCACATTCAATTATATAATAATTATGTCAAACCAAAGTGACAGCAGTTTCAATACAGAGAATGAGATCATTTCAGAGCTATGACAAAGCACAGACAATCTCGTCACGTGGCTTTAAAAGACTCAAAATACAGCACCAATCACATGGACTAGCTTTAATCATTCTGGGGTTTGACTTGACAGCACACGACCCGAATGGTTTCAAAGAGCACCCAGGATATTTTTCAAAATTTCTTCATTTCATGTTCCACAAGAATAACAACAGCACTTGGGTTTGGAACGACATGAAGGTGAACAAATAAAGGCAGAATTGTCATTTTTCAGTGACCTTCTCCTTTAATCAGAGCCATTATAAATCTTAATTCTGTCTCAGAGGGACATGAAACTAAATGTTCCAAAGTGTCACCAAAGCAAACGCAGGGCCCTTTTCTTCAATAAACACATCGCTGCATTACATTTCCTTCTGTTTTCGCCCCCTCTGTTGGATGAAAGATAAAGCTTTTGCTTTGACTTGTGAAGGCAGATGGTCGCCATACTGGGCAAAATGAATTCAGATGTGGCAAATGAATCAAGATTACTTCAACATGCAAAAGGCTTTGAAAGAACAGAAAAGGGAGCCCGTTCTATTTATTGCATTTTTCCTCTATGTAATTAAATAGTCAGGACTTTTATGTAGCTTCCACGTCTTTTTTTGGTGTTTGTTTTGTTTTTTTTTGTCTACAGACGCCTAGTTAATTTCCTCATTTAGTCGTGGGCGTTCGATTCGTGTTTTGGTCGATTTTGCCAAGAGCAGTAGTCCTACAGCGTGTAAAGACCAAAATACGGATGACTCTTGGTGACATAAAATGATTTTGAGGAAGGGCACTTTTACTACCGCGACTCTATGAAAGAAAAGCCCACAAATATCAGCATTCAAAGACCTCCAACATATTTATTTCTTCTTTATCCAAGACATCCCAATCCAACCTTCCGCCACATGCTGTTTCAATATATATATTCAACTATATTTTTCATTAATTACAATTACCCCAACTCAGCTGTCTCATAAATTTTCAGACCATCATCATAACAGGGGGAAAATCAGAAACATGTTTGGCGCTCGCAGTCGCCGAAGAAGGAAATGTAACTTAATAGTGCGTCTTTCTCGAGGCCCTAATGAAGTGGCAAATGCGATTCAGAGCCATTGGATGTTTTATTTCCCTCCTACATCCTCGCCGGGCCGCCACACACAGTTTCCCAGCGTCTCCACAAGAATTGCAATCATGCGAAATCCATTTCTCTCACACCGAAACGTGTAGATTAAAGGCTGTCGGACGTGTACTTGGACAGGAAGGAGGAGGCGAAGAAGAAACGACTCGCACGTTCAAATCTCCATCATCTGTGTGAGTGTGTGTGTGTGTGCGCAAGTTTCCACAGAGTCAGGCTTCATGTCGAGTGCTGACATCACTCTTCCTACGGTCTTTCAAACAGCCAAGGTTTTACAAACAATACACATGGGGGGAAAGTCAGGCTAGACACAAGAGTGAGGATGTGATTTTTTCCAGAATAAAACACAGAATTGACTGTGAAGGAAGAACAGAGTATGAAACCTCAACTAACCACAGGCTCACAACTGGAGCCTGGAATAAGAAAACGGAAATTTGTCCATCTAATTATGATTTTTGCATTAATAATATCATATTTAATTTGCATTCCCACATAAACAAGCTCATTTTTACTCAGTATATTATGTAATGCTTATGTATGACTTAAAGATGCTGAAATAACGTGACATGTCAAAAAAGCTATTTATTTACCTACCTGTAACTATAACTAACAACTTTTACTAGATTTCAGAGAATCCAAACAGTTAAAACTATATCAAATACAATGCTTGTCAACATTCTAAAGACATAATGATGCTTGTAAAAGTGTTGTAAGACACTTACAGTGGACTGAACTGAGCAAACAGAACATTTCGAGTCTCGTATCAATAGTTGACTTTCAGACTAAATAAATAACCGAATTTGAACCTTACACATTAAAGTAACGGATTATTTTACCTTATGTATGTTAAGATCAATTCAATCCATCCACATGTGCTCTTTCAAACTGCAAGGCACTTGACTGATGTAAACATACTGTTCAGCGCGTGTCTATTTGACGTCACTCGGTCTGCCAGGGATTGTGGGTAATGTAGTTTTTAACGGTTATCTAACGCAGTGGTAAGCGAAAACTGCTGTAGTTCTGCATTTAATCTCGTCGCATAATTAAAGACGCATTTAAACGTTATAAAGAGCTTTTCAGATTTATCCGGTTAAAACTAAAAGCCACAATAATAATAATAAAAGCATTATCAATTGGCTAATAATAATAAAACACAAATCGATATTACCATAACATTTGCATAGTAGCTACATTTCAACAAAGAATTATTAGAAAATAATTCATATGATTAAAATTATGATTTTATACTTATTATTACAGTCGAATGTTATTCGTTGACCTAACCAATCTTTATCAGATTAAAAAATAATAATAGCCTAATTAGCCCGAAAATATGAACATACGTCATGTATGAACATGGACTAATATATAAACATAGATAGGCCTATATGTATACATATGCTTCTTCAATGTTGTTGTCATGGCTTCTGTGCTGCTATTGTATAATATTAACTTTACCCGGGCTCTTTATCTGTCTTTAGAAATAGGAAATGAGTCACTTCTCTTCTTTGCTTGTTTGCTTTCTGTCTGGTTTCAATGAGTTGTGTTTATGTCTCTTTATGAGCTCGTTATGTCTCACGTGAGTGAACAGTGAAAGAAAACTTGCTGTTGCCATAATAAAGAATTTAAGGTTGAATATGCCACTGTAGTAGCTTAGATCTTTCCTTAGCCTACTTTGTTTTCTTTTATACATGTCTTTACATTTCGACATAAATTACAACTGTTCTGCAGTTTATTTATAGCAACAGGGTCTCTATGTAGTATTTTATGGATTGCTTTGGTACAAGAGGAAAAAAAGCTAAAAAGAACATCTGAATTGCTGATTTATTTTGATGCCGTGAAATGGTGCTTGGAGACATGACGTGCTCAAGACTCATCAGCATAATAATCCTCCTGCTTCTGCATATATATAAACCACAAAAAACCTGAGCTCACCCAAGTCCCTGCCTCCTAAGACAAACCACACAACGAGACAAAAACACTGCGGCTTTGCAGCGCCTTCATCTTTCTAACCACAACCTTTGGAATCACCTTTTTAACCCTTCACAAAGACCGTGCATGGACCAAAAAAGGTCTTGAGGACTTTTGCAAAGCCGTAAACTTTCTTTTTACTACTTACATGGTGGCACGTTTTAAGAAGCGCGGTAAAGTGAACTCTCCGATCGAGCGCTGCGCGTAACGCGAAGTGACTCGCTCTTTTTTCCCGGATTTTGAAGTTTATCACAGCAACGTTCAACATTGGAGAAGCAAAAAATCGACCTCGAGAATTATGTCCGCGTTTCTTCTGCGTGTAACCACGAGCTCGTGCGCGTTAATTTCAACGCGATTCACCTGTGGGAGCGCGTAAAGCTCGCGCGTAAAGCCTGAGAGGAACCGATCTCATCCAACTTTTTCGGTTTCTGGAAGGCGCGTTACTCAGCCTAACGGACTTTATATAGATCCTGGCTATTTGTGATTGAAAACCCTGACTTTAGTGCTGCTTTTGAAGTGTCCTTACCTTTGCTGACATTGTTGTGATGCGCATTCCGGTAGACCCGAACACCAGCCGCAGGTTCAGTCCACCGTCCAGCAGCCTTCAGCCGGTGGCGGGGAAGATGAGCGATGTGCAGCAGGAGCCGAACGCGGCGGTGCCGAGACTCCGACAGCACGACAACCGAACCATGGTGGAAATCATCGCGGACCACCCCGCCGAGCTCGTGCGCACGGACAGCCCCAACTTTCTGTGCTCAGTGCTGCCGTCTCACTGGAGGTGCAACAAAACTCTCCCGGTGGCGTTTAAGGTCAGAAACACTTACGGATTTAATAGTGATTTACAAACAATAGTATTTAGGCTACATTAAACTATGGATGTTTTTTTTTTTTTTACTATTTAGATGCACATTAACTCGTGATGTGTTTTACTCATAAATGAATATATTTTGTATTATTATTCATTTAAACTAGGTAATTATTTAACCAGGCTGGATTTAAATCTCCTTTACAGCAGACTTGGCCAAGATCCAGACAACATTAAAATACATAACATTACATTATAAATTAGTAGGAAAGAAAAACGCAGCCATTTAACAGTTAAAATAAAATGATTCTATTTAAGTTCATTTGATTGTTTATGTAAATGTAAACTCACAGGTCTTGACTTTAGGCTACATATAAGGTTATACTTCATATATAATCAAACTTTTATTGAAATGTACTACGTGAACTAAAAATCTGTGCAGCGTTGTTGTGGTTTTCCTAATGTAATCTAGTTCTTTAAAAAACTTATTGATGGACACGATTTATGACGTTTTTACCAGTGTTTCTTTTCCACTTCAACACTATGTGCTTTAATGTTAATAGTTGTTGTTGTTGTTGTTTTAATTATTGCGGTTATTTGTGGGTGATGTTTAAAATGAGAAATCCTGCCGTGCTGGAGAGAAGTGAAATCTGAGCGATTTGAAGCTATTCATAGATACAAACACATGCATGTTTAATCACGCGGCCTAAATTACACACAACTATTAATACTTTCACCAAAGATAGAGTCTTTCATACAAATGCATCTATATCTGTAACACAGGATGATTTCAGAGTCTTTTTGTTCTGTAAACCTTTGTTCATTTAGATGAGCTTGTAGAACTGAACCAGCTGCCCCTGCTCACATTGAACAATAACATCAAAACATCATTCATATGAATCACATCATTTTTTCAGTTTGTTATTTTAGGGGGAAGGTCATTTTGGCAAGTAAATGTATATATACAAATAAATGAAAAAAAAAATATATATATATATATATATATATATATATATATATGAAGAGTTCAGATGCAAAAGCCTCTAAGTGCCATTTGACATTTTCTTCTAGAATGATCATTTTTATCAAACTTGTATATTTAAGTTCAGTGATTTCACTTAAATGGCAATGATAATTACCTATTAATTGTTATTTAAGTGAAATTACTGAACTTAAATATACAAGTTTGATAAAAATCATCATTAAAGAAGAAAATTTAAAATGGCATTTAGAGGCTTTTGCATCTGAACTCTTCATATATATATATATATATATATACACACACACACATTTAAATAGGCCTGTTCAATATATATATATTCAAATTCGCTTTAGACATTATGCTCATTGTTTATTACTGAATCAATAGTAATGTTAAAGTCTGTTACTGGACTCACTGATATGACCTGATGGTTTCCAACCAGTTTAAGGTGATTTTTTTACATAGACAATTTGAAATCTCACCTTAAAGGACAATCTAGCTTTCGTCTGATGATATATTTGCATGTTTGACTTGATTTTCTGTGTTCTTATTGTGGTATACAGCAGTTTAGTTTCAAAATGTCAACTATAATCTGGATCACGGCCTGTTTTCATCAGGATTGAGACCGTGTATGAATGTAAACCGTGAATATCAGGGTAAATGATGTGTTTTCTGCTCAGGTTGTTGCTCTGGGAGATGTTCCTGACGGGACTGTGGTGACAGTTATGGCAGGGAATGACGAGAACTACTCGGCAGAGCTGCGAAACGCCTCAGCTGTCATGAAGAATCAGGTGGCGCGTTTCAACGACCTGAGATTTGTTGGCAGGAGTGGAAGAGGTTGGTACTTCCACTTTAATTTTATTTATTCTTTGCCGGCCGCTTCGTTTGCTTTGGCTCAATCATAAAAAGGGTCAAATCACGTAAGACATTCGTTTACAATAAATGACATGTTGGAAATAAAACTTTGGCATCCAAATTGACAGGGAAAGTCGAGTTTTACCGCAAACACCCATATAAAACAGCTTTATTGCTATTTACAGTAAGAGTTTATCGATGGCATCAGTTTAACTGAAAAAAAAAAACCAATGTAAATATGATGTAAATTATACATAGCATATTTTACATGAACACAATAGGATACTGTCCAAGATTCCTCACTTACGGATAACACCGAAATGAAATGAAACTGCAGAACTGGAACCAAATCACAGAGAGGCCTCCGCATTATTATTTTCCACAAGCGTCCAACATTTTGAGTGCTTCCATGTTGAGAATAAAGAAAAAAATAACTGTCATTTAAGTATTCCCGAAGCTTAAAACGTAAAAAAAAAAAAATTTCCATTTAATATTTTTCTGTGTTACATCCACCCTACACACCCTAAAACACCCCCCCCCCCCCCCCCCCTATGAATGCGGGCTCAAAGTGCTCACAGACTGCTTATGTGTGGATGAATGCTGCTTTTGATATGCTTGCAATTATTGTCAAAGACAAAATCCTGCTCTTGTGATCCTGTCGGAAGAAGGCATTGAGAGCGCAGGGCTTTGAAGAGAACGGGACAGGAGATCACAGGAGCGCCCGTCTGCTGCTGGAGGCTGCGTATCTGAGGTCTAGACTTGCCCTGCTAATCCACACAGGCACTTAAAGTGAAGCACGTACGTGTGCGGCAGGGAATCCCTCGCATGGCGCCCACAAACTACAGACTGGATCTGGAAGAAAACAACTCCAGGTGTTTTGGGGAAGCGCCGCTCGACTTATATGGGCTTTTTCAATGGCTGATGCCGACATATAAAGAGAGCAGCGCTGATGTATGTTGTGATTAACTGATTTTGTCTGATATTTGGTTACTTTTTGAGATTTAAAAGGATGGAAGGGGTTGCTCTGCCGGTGTCAATTCAAAAATCTAAAAATATATAATACGTATATTAAATATACAATATAGAATTTAGGGTTCTTTTTAATTCAACGATTATTTATACATCATATTTGCTATCACTAAATTGTATTGCACGCACACACATAGCCTATATATACAGTATATATATATGAAGAGTTCAGATGCAAAAGCCTCTAAATGCCTTTTTCGAAATTTTCTTCTTTAATGATGATTTTTATAAAACTTGTATATTTAAGTTCAGTAATTTCACTTAAATGGCAATGATAATTACCTATTAATTGTTATTTAAGTGAAATTAATGAAATAAAATATACAAGTTTGATAAAAATCATCATTAAAGAAGAAAATTTCAAATGGCATTTAGAGGCTTTTGCATCTGAACTCTTCATATATATATATATATATATATATATATATTTATACATAATATTTTTTACCTTTTTTATAGACACACACACACACACACACACACTGTATAGTTCATGTCGGTAAGAAGTCTTTTCTGCTCACCAAGGCTGCATTTATAAGATCAAAAATACAGTAAAAACTGTAATATTGTCAAATATTATTAAAATTTTAGTTCCCTATTTTCTATGTCAATATATTTAAATGTGCAATTTATTCATGTGACGCAAAGCTAAATTTTCAGCATCATTACTCCAGTCTTCAGTGTCACATGATCCTTCAGAAATCATTCTAATATGATGATTTGCTGCTATATTTATATATATATATATATATATATATATATATATATATTTATATATATTTATATATATATATATATATTTTTTTCCCCCAGAATTATTTGATGAACAGATAGTTCAAAAGTAGTTTCTACAGTACTGTCACTTTTGATCAATTGAATGCATCCTTTCTAAATAGAAGAATTTCTTAAAAAACAATCTTACTGTATGAATTAGACATTAAAAAAGGAAAATCTTACTTTGCAAAACACATTTTTGAATATTATCCAATGCAAGGCTGTTGGTAAATTCTGAAAGTGACACAAATGTAATGGATAAAGCTTGTGGTAATCGACAAGTGGACATAAACATCATAGGCAATAATGGATCACTACTCTTAATGTCTGTGGTGGTTAAATCAGCGGAATCTGCGTGTGTGTTGAAGACACCAGATCGACCCACAATCAGTCCAAGAGGACGCACGGACGTGCAAACAGTAGTTTGTGGAGCGATCGGCCGGTCACTGAATGTCCTCACACACCCCCCAACACGCCAAGGGTGCGCATCCGTGTTATCTCCTCACAGCTGTCACAGTGAACAGGCCTTGGCCCGCACGGAGACCCATACCTCCACAGGCTAGAGTTTCCTCTATCTATGACACGGGATCTGGAAGAGGAAGTCAGGGAGGAGATAGCACAGCATAAGGAAATTAAATATGGAAAACGATACGATGCACTATGTGGAAGATTAAAATAAGATCGACCGCAATCAAACAAATGACATCAGAAAAATAGCGCTCCTTGAATTACCGTAAGCAATGCCGTTTCCGGAGACATAATGTGTTTAACATTTCATTTGTGCTGGAACACATTTCTGTTTTCAGAAGCGCTGTGCCCTTATTTATGAATGGATTTGGCTACGCTGGGTTGGTTAGGTCAGGGCGGCCGCGGGATGTTTGTTGTTGATCAGGAGTTATGCGTTTCACAGTCTCTTTCTGTTTAGGAAATCATTTGGAACAGAAAAACACCGTGGATAAGCCATGCGTTTAGGATATTTTTAGTAGCTGGACACCATGGCAGATGCCAGGGTTGGTGGAGCGGTCAGACGCTGGGCTGGGCCGTGGTGTGTGTTGGGTATCAGCTCGCTGGGTAGGGCTCGGGTGGGTCCAAGAACGTGCTTTTTGGGGCTTATGGACAGATTCCTGTGGGGGAAAAGAGCAAGACTTATGTACACTCTAAAAAATGCTGGGTTGTTTTAAATATGTTAAAATATTGACAAACCCAGCCATTGGATTACATTTTTAAATGACATTTTTGGCCATATCTTACCCAAAATTGGGTTAAAACAACCCAGCATTTTTTAACGTGCACAAATGTTGGTAAATCAAAAATCTGGCATTAAAAAAATAAATAAAAAATGTATGCATATGGGAAATGCATGACTGCTTTTTCAATAAAATATGGTTTACTCTTTCTAATTGATGGTAGAAAGTGTAAATAATTTAGTAATAACGTTACATGTTGAAAATCTAGAAAATGCATGATTAATTGAAATGTTGCAATTCTAGAGAGTGTTTATTCTATGAAATACCTTGTTGCATGAGATATATGTTCACTTAATATTTGAAAACTGGAGTATTTTCATTTTATGAAGAAAATGTGCCTCACCTCTACAATGTGTGCATGTTGTGGGTGGTTGCCAGGGTGTTGCTATGCAGTGTTCTGAGTCGTTGCTTGGTGGTCGCTTACTCGTCCTACTCAATATTGTAAAGGTTTTATTTTTAGTTAGACTAGGATTACAAGAAAATACTATTTCAGTCTTTCAGTGTTTCAACCAATGTGTTACTTGCTGTTTCTTTGTAATTATTTGTAATTTCTGAGTGAAAAAAAGCTAACACTTTATTTTGATGGTACACTTTACACCTTAAGTAACTTTGCATGTCAACTTGTAGTTATTAGTATTAGTAGACTGTCTGCTTAATATATTTGCAACTACATGTCAACTTATTATAATCCATTGGATGAACATGACTTAATCACGCCACCTATATTCCATCTAAACAAGTCAACCAACCTTCATCGTGTTCTTTGAACACGAAATAGGTGTTGGTTAGACATGATTTTAACATTTCCATTAAACTCATTTGCATCTTTTTTGAGTTACATGTTCTTTTTTAGTTAGCTTAGTGAGATGACTTTGAGTGCTATTTGCTAGCAGCAGCACATATTAGCATCTTAAATGTTAAGATTTACATGCTTCTTCAACCAAAACAATAGAAAATTATTAAATCAGCCCACAGCTAAACGAAGTGCTCAACTCTTCTCCATGGTAACCCACTGTAATTTAAATGGTTTTAATAGTTCCAAAGTAATTAAATATTACACACTATCAAGTCTTTCCCTTTTCTCATTTTCTCCAAAAAAATAAAATAAAACACTTAATTTTAACATTTATTCTCTCTTAATTTAACCATATGCAAAGCATGCTAGGAACTAACAAGCACCGCCCAGTTCCAGTTAATGCAACACAAATTAATCATGTAATCCAACACAAAAGGATTAAGTAAACTTAATGGTTACGGATTAAATTAATTTACTTAACATAAATGGTTTGTGTTTAGACAACGAGTTTGGATTTTGTACTGTTGAGACATAATTATGTTGACCTTAACACATTTTAAGTAAAAAAAACAAAAAAAAAACACAATTATTATAAGTAAACTAAATATAAATATATTATGTAAAGTGCACAAACTTTTTTTTTCTTTTTTTTTTACTCAAACCTAAACCTAACCCTAATCTAAAAGTCTAATGAGAGTCAGCTGACATGCAGTTACAAAGTTACTTATACTGTAGTTAATGACTAAAGTGGACATCAAAATAAAGTATAAATTGTTTCAAGTAAAACCATTTTTTTTCAGTGAATGAGCTATATTAAAGCTTCATACAGTTTTTTTTCTCTGTAGTGTTTTTTTTGTTGTTTTTTTACAGTATTTTACAGTTAAAATGACACTGGTTTTATTTCTGTGGTGAAGCAAACTCAACAAATGGGTAAAATTATATAACATTAGTGTGTTAGTTTGTTTTGTTTACCCATTAGTTTATTAGTTTGAAAGCTCTTCCCATTCCAAGAGTTAGTAAATGAACCCTAGTTTAGAAGACATGCACAAACTAAGAAGGCAAAGCCAAGTGTAGCTGCCTGTTGTATTGTGTCAGTGCTTTTCCACCCACTTCTTCCTGTCTTGCTTGCAGATCGCATCTCTGAGAATGTGTCATGCTTGACTTCACAGCATGCTTCGCACATTACACATTACTGCTGAGTCTGCCTTTAGTAGAAGTATCTTAGTATTTCCTGTGCTCTACTCTACAGCACGTTTTAGCTGAATAATATTTTGTGTTGAAAGTTAATTGGAAGTGAGCCCACACGTTTCTGAACGTTAAATCTGAAAGAGAGAAGTTGCTCAGTAAAAGGTCACGAAACATGAAAGATGAGTGACCGCAGGACCCACCTTGACACCCAACCCTTGTTTTGAATCACACATAAAATAATTATTACTAATAACAGCACTGCTGTGGAAGTTTATTCTTGGTTGCAGTTTAAAAAGGAAAATCCAAATGCCACTGCATGAGAATATGCTTGCTTACGTTAGCAAGGTTCTGTATTTTTTTTTTTTTTTGAGGTATTAAAAATACTAGACATTTTCTAATTATACTGTAAATTGTTATGTTGTCCCCCTGCAAATTATATATATATATGTAATATATAATTATTTAAAAATAGAAAAATAATACAAATGAATAAATATATTCAGTTTATAATAGTAATACAAATGTATTAATCAAATATGCATCAAATTAAATAATAATATATTGACATATTTATATATTAATAAAATATATATTAATAAAAACTACGAATATATATTTAATCATTTAAAGTATAATAACTTTAAATAAAAACTAAGAATATAGATTTAATCATTTAAAGTATAATAACTTTTCTGATTGTCATTTGCTTTTATATTTTTATAATATCAATAAGCAGCGATGGCACCAGGAACTTTTATCTAAAAATTGAGTGCATTAATAACTTCAATACCCTACATTTATTGCATGGTACTTATTTAATTTTCCATTTTACCTTAAATCATAAAAGTACAAAGTGTAAGAATTAAAATTCAAATCTTTATTATAACATGAGAGAATCTTCAAAAATATAGCTACTCACCAATATCAGAATACAAGAGCTATTCCAAGATGTGCCTGAACTACGATCTTTTTCCTCATTTTTAGGCCTTGTCCACGTGGACACAGGTATTTTTATAACCAGAGTTTTTCCTCCTGTGTTTAAAAAAAAAAATCCCATCCACATTAAAACGCAAAAACACGCTATCAAGCACTGTCAAGTGCATGCCACACCAGCAGGTGGCAATATAAGCCACGTTGCCCAATCAGAAGCCTAACAAAAAGTTATTACAGTTTCCGGTAGGCGGATAACGGCATAGCGCGGGCGCACACTCTGACGTCGCAAGGCAAAACCCCTGGTTTTACTGTCTACACGACAACACTGTAACCGGCGTTTCTAAAAATCCTCACCCTGGCAGGGGTTTTTGCCATTTTTTTTGCCGTTTCCTCTTCCTCTGTTCCTCCGACAATAGCTGTGTCTGAAATCGCTCCGTATCCACTATATAGTGCACTATATCGGGTGTCGGCCATTTTGTAGTGGTGTCCGAATTCTGAGTGAACGACATCATTCCCTACATTCATTCACTACTTTTACCCACAATCCTCTCTGAATTCGAGTGTACATTCGGTGTGCGTTCCATTCGACCGTAAGTGGACTGCGAAGTGGACTTCACAGGGTATTTCGCCATCTTAAGTGAGATTCCAATTCGAAGGGAACGAACATGTTCAGTTTGAAGGGCCCTGAAAATGGCTTAGGGAATAAGGGAACATCGATACATCACTTCACAGGAAGTCAGTGAAGTCCACTTCAACTGATATACCGTGTTCAGGGAGTAGGGAGCAGTGAACACTGTGTAGGGACCCTGTCGAATGGAACGCACCAACTATGTACACTTGCTGAAGCACTATTTCCCACAATCCAATGCGGAAAGAACTGAGCGCGCATGAAAGTGCGGCGCGAGCAAGTTTAAACCAGAGATTACAGTGGAGGATTTGAAAAATATCCGTTAATCGTCGGAAAGCGTATTCATTCATATAATAATGGTCGCTGGAGGGTGCTCGACGACACGTCATCTGTGAGCGTGAGAGTTACAATTTCAGTCGATTAAACTACAAAGCTGGCACGGAGGTATAAATATAATTACAAAATAAAGTCATTATGATTGTTATTGTTGTTAATATTATTTTATAAAGTAAGTAACGTAAGATAAAAGGAGTTTTATCAGTACGTGTGATGAAGCCTTTTCTGCGACAGCTCCAACTCCCCGACGCACAGTGTAAACGTCAGCGTCGTGTGCACTCAAATGCCATACACTATATAGGGATTATTGAAAGAGTGAACGAGTGAGCGGTTTCAGACACAGCTAATGTTTTCCTAGCATTCTGCTTCTTATATGCTGGCTTAGCCATGACGATAGCGTGACAAACTCAACCTTGTTCCTGGATTGGGGGCATGTATGTGTGCATTGCCGTAAAGGAATATGTTACATCGCGAGAACTGCTATCATGCGATACTTCCATTCAACCCAAAAGAAGTCATATAACCATTTCAATAACTCAGAAGCTGTTCAGTTAAGCTAAAAAAACTGCATAGCATCCCTTTAAAAGCTCACCATTATGATGATCACTGTTGCTCAATATGATCGCCATTCGCCAATACCTGAGCATGCAATTGACTCATCCCCTTTAAAACATTATTAAACATTATTTGTTTTATAGATTCTTAATATTTCTTAGGTTTTCAATTTTTTTTAGTTTTAATGAAAAGGTAGCACTTTATTTTGATGGTCTCTTTTTAAACTTTGCAACAAATAATTCCCATTAGAGTATTAGAAGACTGTCTGCTTAATATCTGCTATCTCTTTATAATGATGATCCTCCAAGAGACATTCTACTTACATACATGTCAACTTAGTATGTCCAGCCCTAACCTTAACCTACCATGGTGCTATTGTGGGTCTGTAGCCCCAACAAGCCCATAAAGCGCTGTTTATTCAATTAAATACTGTTAATGAGTTCAGTTAATATTCAAAAATGTGACTATTTTCATGCACTCCCTCTACAATGTTTGCATGATATGGATGGTTGCCAGGGGGTTGCTATGCAGTTGCTAAGGTGTTCTGAGTGGTTGCTAGGTGGTTGCTTACTGGTTCTACTCAACCAGTAACAGTAATGACAGAGGCCTAGCTCAGTCATTAAGCCATTTATTTCACTCGCATCATGTACTGTACGTTAAAACCTAACATGGCCTGTTTTATGCATTTCTGATTTGTCATGTCCAACAACTGAATATTACAAATTCATATCTCAGCAAGGCTTACTTTCCAAACCAATTCCATTATTGTCCGTCGCGCCCAGGCCCTTTTCAATGGCTCGAGTTCCTCGCAGTTAAAATCCCACAGTCATCACCGTCACCAGCAGAGAAATGCAAATGACCGCCGCGCAATGAATGCGACACATTGTCCGGCGGATTAATCGGGTTTGAACCTTTTTTTTGTGTTTTGCAGGAAAGAGCTTCACGCTGACAATCACAGTATTCACGAACCCACCGCAAGTGGCGACTTACCATCGAGCCATAAAGGTCACAGTGGACGGACCGCGGGAGCCGCGAAGTGAGTACCAAATATCACACGTCATGTGATCAGCACGCGCAAAGAGCGCCCGAATCCAGAGATGAATGATTTTGTGCAGCATCGTGGCTTAACGCCCAGCCAGTGGGACGAGACGTGTGGCCCGATGCATGAATTGATGCATAGATTGTGTTACGGTACTGTTTTAAAAAATGGATTCAGCACGCCTCAATGCACAAAGACGGCCTTTGAGGAGCTGCAGGCACGGCCAGAGAGAGGCAAATACAAACGCGTGCTGTCAAGGCCGCTTGACTTGTGAAAATGTTTACTGTATTGGCCTCTTGTGTCTGTCCATCAACGTGCTCTTAAGAGCGAGCCGCTTGACCTTTGACCTGTGCTCTTGCTCTGTTCTGAATGGAATAATAGTCTGCTGGGAATCTGCTGGGCTTTCAAACCTGCTCATCTTACACTTTTTTTTTTTTTACAAAATTGGATAAAAAATAGCTTTTTTTTTGCAATTTTCTCTCAGAAATTGCTTTTACATTTCGAAAATGAAATTGCAAACAAAACGTTGATTTAAAACGGGGAATTTTGAACTAGCAAACCGTTTTCTTATAAAATGTACTCCAATGATATTTCTTTATTAGAAAAATATTTTACATCCACATTCTGAATAAAACACATAGCACAATCATGTGAGGTAAAATACAGTTTAAAATGTTACGCAATACGCAATATACTAGGAATTACAAAACAGCCCCTGTAAACTCGAGCACATTGCATTGTGGGATAGGTGTGTTCAAATTTTGTCAAATGTAGTATGTCATGCTGGAATTGATGACATGCAGAAAATTCACATTCATTATAGGATTAGTTCATCAAAAAATGAGAATTATCCCATAATTTACTCTGCCTTAAAGGAGTAGTTCACTTTTAAAAAAACCTTTGCTGATAATTTACACACCCCCATGTCATCCAAGATGTCCATGTCTTTCTTTCTTCAGTCGAAAAGAAATTGAGGTTTTTGATGAAAACATTCCAGGATTTTTCTCCATTTAATGGACTTCAATGGGAACCAAATGGTTCTGGGCCCAAAAGACACTTTCAGTACAAACTGCAAACTGTTCAAAGGGCTTTAAACGATTCTAGACGATGAATAAGGGTCTTAACAAGCAAACCGATCGCTCATTTAATGAATAAATAACAAAGTTTAAGTTTTATAAGCACAATTGCTCGCCTTGCTCTGTACTGCTATGCTTTTTTGTGAATCTCCTGTTTGAACTCGTTCATCTTAATCTTTTTCCGAGTTATTTGGTTGATTCAACGAGCGAAACAAACGAATTGACTCGGAAAAAGATTCGTTCATTTTTATGAACGAGTTCGAACAGGAGAGTCACAAACGTGCATCGCAGAACAGAGCAAGGCGAGCATTTGAGCTTATAAAACTTTAATTTTGTTATTTATTTATTAAATGAGCGATCGTTTCGCTTGATAAGACCCTTATTCATCGTCTGGAATCGTTTAAAGCCCTTTGAACAGTTTGCAGTTTGCACTGAAAGTGTCTTTTGGACCATGAACCGTTTGGTTCCCATTGAAGTCCATTATATGGAGAAAAATGCTGGAATGTTTTAATCAAAAACCTTAATTTCTTTTCGACTGAAGAAAGAAAGACATGGACATCTTGGATGACATGCGGGTGAGTAAATTATCAGCAAAAGTTTATTTTTTGAAAATTGAACTACTCCTTTAAGCCATCCTAGTTGTATATGACTTTCTTCTTTCAGCCAAACACAATCAGAGTTCTATTAGAAAATATCCTGGCTCTTCCAAGCTTTATAATAGAGCGAGTGCCATCAGAGTGTTTAGCTCCATCCATCAATCACAAAAAGTAATCCAAGTGACAGTGGGTTAATAAATGCCTTCTGAAGTAAAGCGATGGGTTTTTGCAAGAAAAAATATCCATATTTGAAACTTTATAAGTCGAGTTCCAGCGGAAGAGTGACCCTCCAGGATATTATTTAATATATCTCCACTTGTGTTCGGCTGAAAGAAGAAACTCATATACACCTAGGATGGCTTAAGGGTGAGTAAATTATGGGATTTTTTTTTTTTTTTGAGTGAACTATCCCTTAAGGAATAATATACTCTAGCATTCTGAACAGATCCATGCTCTTAATTCTGAATATGAAGCACTCTAAGAATAATCCATCCCTTTGTTGGGTTACAAAAGAAGTTCAGGAAGCATTTCCAGAAAAGAAAAAAAAATAGAAAATCCATTTTATACATCAATATTGGGTCATTACAGGATCAGCTAGATTTATAGGAACCATTGTGACATTTCTCAGACAGAAAAGAAACTTTGATGCTTTTGTTTTACCGATACACTGTACAGATACTTGTCACGGAAAAGAGAAACAGCCCATGTTTTCTCTCTCGGAGGAACCCGATCTGGCAAAAAGCTCCAGTTATGCGTCAATTATGAAAAAGCCAGTTCATCGGAGTTGATGTCTGAACTTGTGAGTTGTGTGTAGTCCTCGCCGTTCTCGTGCCTAAACCTCTCAGTCGCTCTCACTACCTGAAAAAAGCCAACTGTTAGAAGACGCTGCCAAATTTCAATTTTCACACTGAGCCCCAGGACCCGTAAACACACACAAGCTGTCATGAATTACTTTCATGTGGCAGAGAATGGAACCAGGAACACAGAGTGCTTGACTTTCTTTAGTATGTTTATATTAAAGTCTGCTGCAATCTGACATTACGGCCAAAGTTCTTCACAATAATCGAATAAAAGTGGATCGGATTCTGTCAGTTGTTAACGGTGACTGACAGATGTTTCTTACTCGTACGTTTTATGCAAACTTTTTTCCATTTTCGGTCGTGAAATTACTCAAAGCGTACATGACGTGGCAAGCAAGCTTTCAATGTGCTGTTACTATACGTTTCTAAATGATTGCACAAAAAATCCCTTTAACTTGCAAAGAGGGAACTGAGATATATTAAAGATCAAAATATCATAATCATAAAATCTGATTTGGATTAGTAGGAATGTGTTAATAAAGTGCAATCCAGAAGTGGGTTTTTAATTATTATTATTTTTTTCAAGGGGAATTGTTTTTAAAAGTCTTTGTTAAAGAGCCATAAACCAAACAATCCAGAGAGAAAATCACATTATAAACTTTGATTTGATACAAAAAAAATTAAAAATCTGAGAAAAAGACAAAGGTATACACCTGGGAACTCAACATGAGAGAAAGAACTGCATGCCCATGAAACACTGCGAATGACATAACCAAATTAAAAATGTATTTCAGTTAAAATTATTAATTTAAAGTTTATATATATATATATATATATATATATATATATATGCGTGTGTGTGTGTGTGTGTTAAAAGAAGAAAAAAGAAAAAAGAAAAAAAAAGGCACAAAGTATTGTGAAGTAATGAGGCAAAACTCTTTTTTTACAGAAGTTTTACCTGTATTTTGAATTATGCATTGGATTGTGTTATGTTTTATGGCTAATCCTGGCAGAAAATTACCAGTAAATGTTCTGTTTTGTTTTTTTGCAGTGTACATATACAAATACATTAGTATTTAGAAAGCCTAGGGAGACCTCGATTACGTCATGCACTCTCAGAAAAAAGGTACGAAAGCTGTCACTGGGGCGGTACCTTTTCAAAAGGTACAATTTTGTACCTAAAGGGTGCATATTGGTACCTTCATGGTACATATTTGTACAATTATGGTACCAATATGCACCCTTTAGGTACAAAATTGTACACCACCCCAGTGACAGCTTTCGTACCTTTTTTTCTGACAGTGTGGGAGTGGGCAGGGCTAAAAAGCTCTTTTAGATCGATTGGGTTGCAACATCTGATTGGTGGAATTTTCTTCACAGCATCATTAGTGGTTTTTCATCATGAATTCCACTGTTAAACATGATTCTTTAAAAAATTAATATGAAATAATGCGGGCTGATGTCTTCAAAACAAAAGCATACCATTATTTAACAAAAGGTCTGTTCAACGAAACACTTCCTGCTAAAAATTACCCTATGGTGAAAAATGAATTGACCCTTTTCACATATCCGAGTTTCTCAGAAGTGGAAGTCGTCATAGTTGGGTAAACTTCAATAGCGGTGAATGAGAGACTACATTAAATATATGTTTTGCGTTCCAGTTTGCTCAGATAGCAAAGAAAAACTCCACAATAGTGTTTTCACAACTTTCAAAAAGAGTGAAAACAAGATTGATAACAGCCGCCCCATAGCCGCTGTATTAGAAATACCCTCACAGCAGCGTTAATTAATTATATATATATATATATAATTTTTTTGTTGTTTTAAACGTTGCAGGATTTATGATACTCATGACTGCACTGTTAGACCTTACCAGGTTTTTTACAGTAAAATACTGGCAACACTGTTGCCAGTCATTTACTGTAAAAATGCACTAAAACTCAAGTTAACTTAAAAAATACAACTTATTAGTTTTAGTCCATTTTTACAACACTATTGCCAGTAATTTACTGTAAAAATGCACTAAAACTCAAGTTAACTAAAAAATACAACTTATTGGTTTTAGTGCATTTTTACAGTAAATTACTGGCAACAGTGTTGCCAGTATTTTACTGTAAAAAACCTGGTAAGTGTGCTGAAACACATCTTCAGTCTGTGAAAAGTGTCCAAGGAGTTTTTAACATCTGGAACTGCACTCCTATCAGAACACCTTAGCAACCCCTTAGCAACCAACGCAGAACATCTAAAGCATCAACATTTCATCTCACATCGACACACGCCATCATACACAGAAACACACAGTCTGATGAGCGCTGCTGTAGATCCAGCCTTGGCTCAATTTCCTGGCACATTTGTAAAAAAGAACTGCCAACTTGCCTGGCACACATCTGTCGCCACTGGCCTTGTATTCATAGATAACTTTCAGGCGGCTAAACCAATAATATCACTTCTTAAAGTCTCGTTTTTTCCCTCTTTACCTCCTCATCTCAATTAACACATCTGGCAGCAGCGTTTTGGAGCCACTT